CTACTGTGGGCTTTCTCCTGCTTCTTCTTTGTCACAGCCAACATCGTCCTCAGCGAGACCCAGCTCTGAGAGCAGGATGTGAGGAGGCAGGGACAGCCCGGCACCAGCCTTCCTGCCTCAGAGCGGGATCTAGCTGCCACCCAGGTCTACATGCGCGCGCTAGACTGGGACTCTTGGAGAAGGCCTTCTGTGTCTCTAGCCGGTGTCTTCTCCCCACCCAGGCCTCGCCATGCAAGACGGCCCTCCTGCCTGGGAACACGGCTGTCCCCAGCTTCTGGGATGGACCCAGTCTGTTACACACGTTCCTCCACTCCGGCCACTGGAGGCTGGCTCCCTCCTCGGCGGCGCAGTGGGGGAGACAGTGCTGGCACTGCTATTTATACTACGCCCCGCCCCTCCTGCATCCCTGACCGTCCACTAGCAGCTGCTGGCTCTTCAGAGGCAGGTCCCAGGCCCTGGCTCTCCTAACCCGGCCTGCTTGTGAGGGCAGGGCCCATTTCCTCACAGGCCTGACAGTTGCTAAGTATTTGTCCTGTGGGAGGCCTGGCCAGCTCTGGTGACAAGGACAGACAGGAAGTGCTAATTGGCACCAGGGTCCCTAGACAAGAGCTGTGAGAGCTTTTGCTGTGGGTGGCCAGCTCTGTTGTGGCAGACAGATAAAGCATCCCTTCCGTGGGGTTTAAAGTCCTTGGCTTTGGGTCCCTTTCAGGGACCCCCTGAAGTGTGGGGTACCCCTTGAGAAGCTGCCCTCACCACCTCACCCACACCCGTAGTAGCTGACTGCCCTGGACTTAGAGCAGGGAGAGAGCACAGTGCCCTCTGACAGCCTGTGTGCCCAGCCCAGCCTGTTCCCATGCTGCACCGCGACACTGGGCGCTGCCCGCAGAAGCCTGGGTGTAGTGCTCAGTGGCCACACTCTCCAGGTCGCTGGCAGCCGTGGAGCGGGAGCGGGTGTCCACCACCATAACTGTGGAAGGAGGCCCGGTCCCCAGCTGCCTCTTGTTCAGTCACGCATGCACCCACTGGGCCCAATGCCTTGGAATCGTGAGTGATTAATGAACCGCATTTTCGATGTGCCTTCTGCTTTGGGCACCAGGGATCCCTTCTGACCCCAACCCTGGGCCTAGTCCCGCCTGTCCTGGACAGAGCTGCCTCTGGGGTGAAAGGTCTCAGACCTCTGCCCCTCCCTCTTGATTTCAGTGCCTTGCTCCACCCTCATGAGGGAACTTCGCCAGCCAACCCTTCCTTTCTACATCTTGCCATATTTAAAGCTTGAGCTCTGCTATGCTGTTGGATGTCCCAGGACCCAGGGGGGCTGTGCAGGACCTGCAAGGAATGCGGGACCCACTGGCCGCAGCTGCTACCTCTGGCCCACGGCATCCTTGCCTCTAAGACTCTCCAGGTCCCCACGGGCCTGCCTCCAGCTTTCTCACCACTGTCACACATCGGTAGTTCTTAAGCATCATCATTGCCCATCCACATGAAAAACAGACATCCCTACACCCGTGCGCCATTGCAGCATCTCCCTGGGAGACCCCGCCCCAGGGTGGGCCAGGGGAGGGAAGCATTCCAGTAGCAGGGCCAGGCGTAGGAAGACTGCCATCCTCCTGTGCTCAGGCTGTTCGCTGAGAACTCAATTAAAAACATCTGTACTTACCCTTCTCCCTCTTGCTTAAGGACAAAGCAAATTAAATCATCTTGCTGCAACACACACACCTCCACCCCACCCCCAGGCTCCAAACCAAATTTTGATGGAAAATTTATTAGCATCATAAAGCCCAGGTTGATTTATGTGGCAATCTGGAGTCACGCACAGCGGTAGAGTGGCCGCTGTGTTCCCCTCCACCTCCGGGTTAAGTTAGGGAAGCCCCAGCCTGGGAGGGAGGAGGGACCCGGTGACCACTGACACCGCCGAGCTGCGGGCCTCCCACTGCTGCTGTCCGGCCTCTATGCTCTTCCATCTCCACCTCTTGTCGGGTCTGCTAGAAGTCACGTGAGGTCACCTCCATCATCATACCAGGCCTCCCTCGGTCACTGGCAGAGAAGAGTTGGGCACAAAGAGGGAAGTACTCAAAGGGCCCAGCATTCCCGGGTGGGTCTCCCTTGTTCCCCCCAGGCATCAAGCACATTGAATTGTCTGGTATCCCCTGGGTAAGGTGGTGGGCTAGGCCCTGGTGTCTGTTTGCAGAGAGTCCCTGAGGTTAGTGGTCTGGAGGACAACAGAGGAGCCTGCCCAGCCTGGCCCCAGAGCCGAGTCTCCTTGGAGGAGGTCTGAAGCTCAGCAGTCACCACTGCGGTCTATCCATGGTTCTGGACCAGTCCCGAGGGCAGGCCAGGTCAAGGTGGGAGTGAGCATTCTCCACCAAAGCACCAGGCCCAGCTGAGCATCAGGGCACAGTGCCAGGAGCTCTGGCTGCGCCTCACCTGAGGCCGGTAGATGGGGCAGATGGCAGGCTGTGAGGTACTGCTGTGTGATAGAAAGTGGCAGTGGGCACCGGGCCAGGCCCAAGGCCGCACAGCTGTCCTCACCACATGGGACCAGGAGCAGCCTCAGCAACAGGCAGTGCCTGCCTCGTGGGGCTCCAGCTGAAGAGAATGGTGGTTCCAGGCCCAGGGGCAGAGGAAAGCTGAGACCTGCCTACTGACTGTAGCCAGGGGCCTCTGAGAGGCCAGCTCTCGATAGCCAGGCTGCAGGCAAGCCCTTCCTGCCAGCCTCCCTCCCGGGGGCATGCTGCTTGCCTGGCACAGTGTTGGATACATTGTGAGGACCAAACTCTCAGACCCTGTGGCCTCTGAGCAGTAAGTACCCTCTTCTAGGTACCTCCAGATCATAGGAAATTAAAGGACTGAACTTAGCCCAGCACCAAAGTCCTTAATAAAGCTGCTATCACTGACAGTTGTCGCCTTGGTCATTTGCCAGCTGTGACTGTACTGGTACCCCAGGACTTGGTTGAGACTCCCAGATATTGCTAATGAAATGGTAGTCTTGGAGCTGTCCCTGCTGCACTTCAGAACCAAGAGTCAACCAGATCTGGGAGGGTTTGGAGAAGAGGATTGGCCGTGGTTCCCTAGTCTTCTAGGAAACTTGACGGTGGCTCTCCCCTTGCAAAGAGCAAGGTAAGTAAACCTGGAGGGACATGGCTAGAAAATGTCATGTGGCCTGCACCCCCTTTATGAGCTCTGGCTCCCTGGAAAGGGCCGATGTGCATACCAGCTTTTGACTAAAAACAACTGAAGGGAGCAGCCAGGGCAGCCACGGGAGGGAACTGGGTCAGACTGTAAGCATGTCCCACTGTGGGACAAGTGGCGGGGCCTTGCTTTGGCATGTTGCATCAAAAGGAAAAACCAGCATTGAAGGTGGGGGTTGTCAGGGCCTCGTGTTAGCTGCTTTAGCTTCTATGACCTCACATTTCTCCTCCCCCCACGGGCTTTCTACCTCCTCTTAGAGGTAGGAGAGAGCCAGGGCACTGCCACCATGAGCAAGAAGCTACGGCGTCTGTCCTTGCACCTCCTGCCCCTCTATGCATTTCTAGAAAAGAGCCAGGCTGCTGGCACCTGGGCCAGCAAGCAGGAGCAGCCCTCCCTCCTTGGAGCAGCAGCAGGCTCAGTTCCACATTTGACTCTTAATTATCTTTCCAGGTCTTGGTTATTAATGATCTTGGGCAGCAAGCAGAGCAGCCTAGACCTCTCACCTCCTCCCAGCCTCACCTGCTGCAACCTTCTCCTGCAGCTGCACACAGACCCTGGTCAGGAGGGTGGGGAAGCAAGGCCCAGAGGCTGACGGATGTCAGTTAACCCTGTCACTGCTGAGTGTGGCTCCAATGTCACGCTCCCTTCCAGAGAGCTCTGTTGTCAGTGCCGACCTAGACTCACGACCTCCACCTGTTGCTGTCGCCTGGTTTTGTCTTGTCTACAGCCGTAAGGCAGTAAGTGATTAGGACCAGAACAGAGGGGGCTACCAATTCTTAGGGTGATCTGACTCTGGCCATAATGGAAATGTATCTGACCTTGCCATCTTCCCTAAAACAAAACTAAAAAGGCCCAGTTACCGTGGCCCCCACCCAAGCAGTGTGGTCACTGGAGACTGAAGAGTCAACATAAGCCACTGTAGCAGAGGACACTGGGCTGGCTCCAGGGGTCACTGTAGCCTCCCCTCATTTCACCTCCCTCTCTGTCATGTGGAAGAAATATCTGCCAGCTTCCACCTCACCTAACCTGTAGAGGACAGCAGGGCCCCAGCTTTACATCCATAGTGGTACAAAGGGTCTGACTGGATCAATAATGCTTACCACATTTGGAATGGTGACTGATGCTCGCTCACTTCACAGTCATTGTTGGAGAATAGATGTAATTGCTGATGGGAAAATTTGAAAGGCTTTAAAAGATGGCAAAAGCCATCCTTACAGAGATCCCCAGAACCAATGACATATGACAATGAAGGGTAGTCAGCTGAGAACCCCAGAGGGAAGATGGGGGCGCTGGACAAATGGGCAGATTGTCCTACCTGAAAAGTGTTGGCACAGTGAGGCTGAACCATGCCCAACCCAGGACGGTACCTATGCCCACCTTCCAGAGACCATGGGCCAGGCCCCAGGCAAAGCTTGACAGTCTCCCCAAATAGACCTTCTGCATCCCTTACCACTGTGACACTGCCATGCTCCCAGGGGGTCTCCTAGCCTGTCAAAATAGTCACTGTCCCTGGCAAGAGCCTCCCTTTTCTGGGAGACTGAGTGATGGACTCAATCCATCACCCGCAGAGCTCCCATAGTGAGCACAGTTGTCACAGAATAGGTGGAACTGGCCCTGAATACCAAACGGCTTCTGCTGCCCAGAACCCCTCCCTCAGCTCACCTATTCCCACCTCACTCTTGGACACCCTTGAAGCTAAGGCTTGTCTACACGGGGCTGTCCACATGCTATAAGCAGATGTCCAGCCCAGAATACACCCAGGGCTGTATTGTGCACCCTCCAGGACACAGAATGAGGCAGCCAGGACCAAGTGGGCTGTAAAACATTGCTTTAATGCTCCAATGAGAAGAAATTCCAACCTACTGGAGCAAGGGGTGGCATGGCCCCACCCCAACCTCCAGTTCCAATTTCTGTGTCCCTAACCCAAGGCCACAGCAGCCACAGTTAGGATCTGGCTGGCCCCAGGACAGGGACCCATTTTCACCTCCTGTGACTGCAAAACTTGGTGTGATGAGCAGGACCCCAGTCCACACCAGGACCCGAGCCTTCTAAGGTCACACACTGGCCATGGTAGACATCTTCACTGGGTCCGATGGCCAGGATTTCAAAGGAGAAGCCAGAGAAGTCCACGCTTGCCTGCCCACCAAACATGGCCAAGGCCAGCCACAAAATCCAGTCCAGCAGGAACCAGAGCAGCTGGCACCTCATACTTCTGATTCCAGGCTGGAGATTCGCCTCCAGGTACAGGACCTTGGGAAACCTTGTGTCCCACGGGTTTCCCTGCTGACCTCTTCCAGCACCCCACTGTCCCTGTAGCCTGTGCCTAGCCCCAGGGTCCTGCCTCTGTGTAATGGAGGCTCCCAGGCTCCAGTGAGCCAGGGGCTGTGGCTGGCACAGGGTAGAGAATGGCGGCAGACAGCCCCCCAACAGAATGGCAGGTGGGTATGGGTGTGCAGGCAGACGTGCTGTCTGGGCTGCCAGGTGGCCGCCCCTGCCGGTACGCCCTCCACACAGGCTTCTCGGTAGGATGGCAGCCGCATGGACTGTGCCTGAACCAAGTGCCTGCAGGATGGCTGGCTTTGGGGGCAGGGGCAGGCACAGGCGTGACCGGCGCACCTGGCAGGCAGCGGGCTGGATCGAGTGAAGGCTTCTGCTACCGAGCTGGGTAGGGAAGCATGGCGAGGACGCGGGCCCCGGGCCCAGGCCGCGCGCAGCAGAGCCTCCCGCCGAGCCAGCTGTTCCGGCCTGAGCAGCGGCAAGTCGTCGGGCTCCGGGGGCTCCGGGAAGAGCGGGAGGAAGGGGCGCCCGGATCTCTCAGCGCGAGGGAAGGAGCTGTAGTGGCAGTGCGCGGGCAACAGGGGGCGCTCCGGGAGCGCGCGCCGCTCGGAGGCCGAAAGGTGCCGCCCCGGGTGCGCGACCTGCACCGGCCACCGTGTATCCCAAGCGTGCCTGCAGGGTGCTCGGGACACTGCGGGAGGAGGCGGCCCGCACATCGCGGGGCGGCCGGAGGGCTGCGGGGCCCTGCGCACTAGCGGTGTGTGGCCCCCACCGGGCGGCCCCCAGCCACTGGGACTCGGTTGTCCCGGAGGACCCGGGGTGGATGACCGCGGGCCCGAGCTGGTGGGAGCAGGTGCTCGGCGGTTGCTGCTCCAGTTCTCGATGGTGCGTGTGGCGCGGTCCAGGGAGCTGCTCATATCCGCGGTGTTCACCATGTCTCGAGCCGCCTGTAGCATCTTCAACACACTGGCCTGGGCTGAGCCTGCTGTAAGGTCCGGGCTGGGTGGCCGCGCAGGGCTGGGGAGGCTCTGTACCCCGTTGAAGCAGCTGTAGATGCCCTAAGCAACGGAGAAGAGATAGGTCACCACTGTCCCGGGCCATGTTCCAAGTAACAGCTTTTTAAGCCCCAACTGTGTGCTCCCTGTGTGTCAGGCAATGTGCTACTCTGCAGATGAATGAAGTATCGGGTTTATTCGTTCTAACGACACAAATGGCAGGGAGGACTCAAAGCCCCACCATGCTGGCAAACCACACCTCTTCCCAAGATGTCAGTTTTACATCTGTAAATGAGTCCACAGCCAGCTGGGTTGCTGTCCCTAACACTGAGATCCCTATAGGAAGAGGCAGGCACCTACCCTGCTGAAAGCCAGCAGGAAGTCCAGCTGGGGTGAGTTGGGCACAGAGTGGCGAAGTTTCCAGTAGACAAGGTGCTCCCAGGCAAAGACCAGCAGGGCCAGCCCCATGGCCACCAGCAGCATGTAGAAGACGCCCGCCATGTTGTCGATGTCCAGCTTGCTGCTCATCACCTCGTTCTTCTCATTCTGGCAGATCCCTGAGAGCCACACGGTCTCCAGCTTCTGGGTCTCTCCTGGCAGAGAGTACATACAAGACTCAGGACCACCTCCTTTGCAACAAGCCCTACCAACACACTCCCTGAGCCTGGATAGAGGACGGTTCTACATCCTTGTTTCCTAGTGGGGACCAGTGCCGCAGAGGTGGAGCAGGGGCAGAAAGCAAGAAGAAAAAGCAGAAGGAAGCTAGCTGCAGAATTAAGGCCCTTTGCCCGCCCGCTCCCATATGCCCAGTAAAGTCTTGGTTTTGGTTTTGTTTTGTTTTGTTTTTTTTTGAGACAGGGTTTCATGTAGCTCACGCCGGCCTTGAACTTAAATTCCGGATCCTCCTGCCTCTACCTCCCAAGTGCTGGGATTACAGGCTGACACCACCATGCCTGGCACTAAAGGCTTGCCGGTTGGTTAAATTTTAGCATTCCCTCATTTACTCATCATTCATTCATTCATTTATTCATCATATGCTCTTTACCACTGACATGCCAAGCTTGAGCTGAGCCCCTGCGGGATGACATTCTCGTTTGCTCTCATGACACTGAATTTATGGTATATAGGACAGTGTTTTGAGTTTAAGGGTATGGGGGTTTGTTGAGATTTATTTTTGTCTTTAATTGTGTATGTATGTCTATGCATGGGTATCATGTGAGTGCAGGTGCTCATGAAGGCCAGAAGTATCCACTCCCCATGGAGCTGATGTGGGTGTTGGGAGCCACACTCAAGCTCTCGGCAAGAGCAGTACACGCTCTTCACCACTGAGCCATCACTGCAGCCCCAAGGCATGGGGTGTGTTTTGTTTTATTTGGAGACTTTGAGCTCTTGATTTATAGTCCAGGCTGGCCTCAAACTCATGATCTCTCTATCTGGGTCCCCCCGGGGGCTACAATTACAGGTGTCCACCCCCATACCCATCACGACAACATTTTATCCGCTAAGGATGGAACTGTAAACTCAGAGCTTTCTCTGGGTTTAGAGCAAGCTGGGCTGGTCGCTCCAGCTAGTGAGCCCTGCCGGCCAGGCTAGCCTGCTTTCAGCTTGGGAGTAGGCAGAAGTTTGGCCCCACCCTCAGGTAATCTCAAGATGACAGAAGAGAAATACTCATCGAGGAAAACCAGAAGGTGCCTGGGGACATTCAGCCACTCAGAACCCCCACCAGGCAACTGGAGTGCTTTCTTGCCTTCCTTGCCCTTTGGGGAACCCCCAGGTCTGGTCCCTGCATCCTCTTACAGGTCATCACTTCCTGAGGGCTCATCAGTTTTTCCTCATACTTGCACCCCAACTGCCCCACCCTCACCCCCAGAGGCCTTCTCCTATGCACACAGAAATGATGGAGATGCTGATAACCATAGGCTCTGTGGTCCACCCTGGTCCCTTCCTGGGCCCTACAGTTGTGGTACTCACCATCCCCCAGGAACTGCAGGAGTGCCAGGTCTATGGCCCGCTTCCAGTGGGAGTCTTTCTGCATGGCGATGCCATAGCCAGTGGTGGCGAAGACCTTGCCAGATCCGATGGTGACCAGCTTGCAGCCCTCATCCTTGCCCGCCATGTAGTTGAGGACAGCAGCATCGTAGATGAAGGCGTCCAGCTTCCTAGAGACAGGCTGAGCCCTCAGGGCCAAGGACCCACACCCGTGAGAGGGAAGCACTAAACCCAGGGCGTGGACAAGGGCCTGAGTACAGGAGCCTGCGGGCACCACCAGAGAGGTGCCCTTGCAAGGACCCCTTCCTCACTTCTCGGAGAGGACAGGGAACTCTGCCCTAGAATATTCCATCCCTCTGCTCATCCCCTTGTGCCCTCAAGAGCCTGTAACTTAACAGTCACCACCTCAAGCTTGGGTCAACACTTCACCTCTATTTCTGGCCCATATAGTAAATATCCACTTTGCCTCAGGACCCCCTGTCCCCTCCCCAGGAGTCCCACAGGACATGCCAGCTCTACTGTCCCCACCTTAGGTCTCTAAGGAAGGGACACCTAAGGGTGCCTCCTGGGAAGACATGGAACCAGAGGAGGGCGCAGGACTGGGGACCCACCCCATCTTGAGGCTTGTGAGAGCATCCTCCACCGAGCGCTGGTTGAACTTGACCATGTGGGTGTGCATGTCACGGTAGTTGCTCCGAATGTTCCTCTCTGTGCTGCCATTGGGCACCGTGCCGAAACGGAAGGGTGGGTATTGATCTTGAGGCCGCTGAAACTAAGGCAGAAAGCAAGCCGCTCCCAACCTCTTCATCTACCCTCTGGGTCCCAGAGCCCCAGCCCCAAGTCTGACATGCACAGCCTCAGGCACAGTCCAGGCCTCCCCTGTCATTTATAAATGGAAACTCAGAAGCCTGAGACAGAGGAAACTTAATCAAGGCCACTCAGGCTGTGGACCTGAGCAGTCATGGCTCCTTCTCCCCAGGCCCCCAAATTCTTCCCACTCCAGCCTTTGTTCCAGTTCCCCAGACTGTCCTGTGTCTGCCCATCCAAGGACTATCCCCACCCTCCACCTGGCTGTGGCCCAGGAACCTTCTTGTCACTAAGGCCCGACACAGTGTCGATGTATTGCTCCTGGATCATGAAGGCTGCCAGATTGGCCGTGTAGCTGGCGAGGAAAATAACAGCAAAGAAAGCCCAGACCAGGACCATGATCTTGCTGGTGGTACCCCGGGGGTTCTCGATGGGAACAGAGTTGTTGAAGACCAGCGCCCACAGCAACCACACGGACTTGCCAATGGTGAAGGATGGTCCTCCAGATTCTGGGGGTGAGAAGGTGGTTGCTGGGGCTTCCCTGACCCACTATGAAAGGGCTCATAGCCTGGTGGGAGCCTCATCACGGGTCCTTCCACCCTGTCCCTCCACCCAGGCCCACGGAACAGCTTACTCTTGCCCTTGGTGAGGTTCTGGTTGTAGCTGACGGGGCTGAAGTACTCGAACATGAAGACAGTGATGGCGACCACCGTGAGGCACATCACAAACATCATCACCCACACGGCAGGGCTGTAGGGTTCTGGGGACCAAGGCAGGGGCTCAGAGACCTCGCCCCCCCCCCATTCCAACAGTACTAGGCAGCAACAAATGGAGACGTGTGCAAAAGAGGGGCCTGGCAGCCCTGTAGGTGGGACCAAAGGTCCCCTCGTCCTCCGGGCAGCAGAGCCCCCAAAGAGTCCAAGGAAGGACAGCGTACAGTGTTCCAGGCTCCCTCCCTCCTCCTGAGACCACACATCACTCCACTCTAAATCTCCATAGCTCCCTGATCTCCAGCAGGGCCCATCACTGGGGAGGGTTCTGACCCCTCTGCCTGGGGTATGAGGCCCTGAGGGCAAGTCTTACTCCGCATCCATCGACGTGGGACCAAAGCCCAAGGCCCTTCAGAATCTGACTGCTGGACTGAGAAACCGTTGCTGTCTAGGGCACTTGCTCCTTTGCAGGGAAGGCCATCCTAAGGGTGGGGGTGACTCTTCCCTGACACTCAGAGACGGTGTGCATGTGTGTGTGCGCGCGCGCGCGCGCGCGCGCGCGTGTGTGTGTGTGTGTGTGTGTGTGTGTGTGTGTGTGTGTGTGTATGTGTGTGCTCGCGTGCGTGCATGAGTGCGTGCGTGCGTGCGTGCGTGCGAGTGCGTTTCACCCTGGTTGGCCTGGAACTCACACAGATCCTCCTGCCTCTGCCTCCCAAACACTGGGATTGCAGGCGTGTGCCACTCTCAGCTTCTATGACTTTGTTAAAGCCACCCAGCAAGAAGGGACAGAGCTGGGGTCTCACACCAGCCCAGCCAGCTCTCAGCCCTTCCCCGGTCCTCACAGCTTCTCTGAGCCACTTCATGCTACAAGCCCCACCTGACCCCCCCCCTCGGCACTCCGGAAAAGGAAGGAATGTAGTTGTATGTTGTAACCCTATAACCTGGCTGGGGGTCTGGCACAAACTTCAGGGTTCCTGATGGAGTAAGAAAAGCATTAGCGTCTATCTCATGCTCCCCACATGCTTCGTCCTTGGTCCATGGCCCAACCCACAGCACAGCCTGTAGCCTGCCTGCCAATCTGTCTTCACATCCTTCCCAGTGGCTCCACTGGCGTGTCGGATTCTTTTGACCCCGACCTGGCTCAGAACCCACCAGTGTTAGCATCACTCCCCCCATCTCCTCTTCACTTGCCTCCCACCACCCTCTGAGGCTCTCAAGGTCTTGGCTTTAAAGGTCCTCCCCAGACTTCACCTTTCCACTCATATCCCCCACAGCCACCCCTGGCTTCTTGTGCCCAGAGCCTTTCCTGGCCACCCAAAGCTCACCCAGGAAGGCTGAGGGGGAGACGGTGCCATTGCTTCTAGCCACCATCACACTGATGCCGGTCTCCACAAAAGGCACAGAGAAATCTATAATCTCGGAGCGCTCCTCATTGATGGTGAGGGAGCCGATGGCCATGTCTGCCCGCTTGTAGTATACCTAGGGGGCAGGAGGGGATTGAAGAGATCCCCCAAGGACTTCAGCCTTCTCCCCAGTCCTCACCCAGGAAGAGCATCCAGCAGGCACCAGCGGAACTAGCTACTCCCTCCCTGAGTCCCCAGAGCTCAGTTTCCCAGAACTCCATCACTGCAGAGCTGACAGCCCAATTGCACAACCACGTGGCTGGGGGAAACTTGAAATCTAGCAGCGAGCAGGGTGGCCCCAGCTGAACCTGGGGTTGAACCTGGGGTTGACATACCTCCCCGATCATGCCGTTCCACACACCTCGCACCCGCTTGCCATGTTTGCCGTTGGTCACCAGGTACAGGTCATAGGAGAACTTGACCACCTTGGCCAGCTTCTTGAGGATGTCGATGCAGAAGCCCTTACAACAGAGCTTGGTGTAGGGGGTGATATCCCCGCTGCTGCAGCCGCCACCGCAAGTCAGAGCCTGCCACAGCTCTCAACCCCAGCTGTTCCCCCCAGCCTGGCACACAGACCCCACCCCTCCCCCAGCACGAGACACACACGCAGCAGCTGACCCACCCATGGCAGCACCCAGCTCACAGCGGACCTGAAGGTGTGGTTGCTCTGTCTACGGCAGGGCACAGTGTTGGGTACGCAGCCACCAGTGCCAGGGTCAGGGCTTTCCACAATGACAAAGGGCCGTTCTTCCAGTGTGGCCACCGTCAGATGCCGGCTGTCCACCACAGGCTGCAGAGAAGTGCTGTAGCGAGGCCACACTGGGTACTTCATGTACAGGACGCCATGATCCCAGCGCCCCACCTGCAGAGGACGACCTGCCTCAGCCAGAACCTGTAGTACTGCTCCCCACCCCCCACACTCTCTAGACAGGACTTCTGGGGACCATCTGCCAAGGCCACGAACCCTAAAGATACCCAGGGCAGACAGATTAGGGAGGCTTCGACAGAGGCATTTGGAAGACAGAAATACAGGCCAAGGGCTGACCATGGACACAAGGGCATGGCCCCCCATAGCCTCCTCCAGGTCCTGGGCCCTGTGATCTCCAATGTTGTCACCACATTGCTGCTGGCCCAAACACCTTCCTAAGTCTCAGACTGCCTCAACAATGCTCACTTCCCCATGACCTCAGCACAAAGTCTTCCACCAACATTCGCCCCATTTTGTCACATCCCCCACAACCATCTGACACATCATTTCACAGCCTTTTGTCTACACCAGGTTAGCACTCTGTCTTACTGGGCTCTTCCTCAGTCTTCTGCAGCCCAACTTAAACATCCCATCTTCAGAAATGCCTTCGCTAGTTTCTTCCTTTGAAAGCAAAACAAATTCTTGTCTTCCTCTCCACACACTTGCTGTTCTCGGTTGTTTTGTTTTTGTTAGGGGGCAAAACACGTTCTCACCATGTAGCCTTGCTGGCCTGTGACTTGCTATGTAAATCAAATAGACCAAGCTGGGCTCGGGTTTGAAGCAATCCTCCTGCCTCTGCCCCTTGAGTACTAGGATTACAGGCATGAATAATCACCCTGTGCCTGGTGCTGTTTTGCATACATCTGTACCCAAGCACTGATCTTTCCTTATTCTGCTTATTTACATGTCCAGCTGGCTGGCTCAGACTTGGGTCACTCCTCTAGGGTCAGGACTATGTGACAGAAATGCTTAGGTTCAGTAGTACAAGGGAAGCAGGGTGTCCCAGGAGCCTGGGGGAATGGGGGTGTGTGACCTAAACCATCTGGGAGGCCTCCAAGGTTTCCCGGTGAAGGAAGTCTCGGCTGAGACATGAACAGAGGGACTCTGCTCAGCTGCGGGGAAATAATAGGAAACAGAGGGCCCTGGGCTCACCCCCATCTCACCATCTCCCAGAGGCGGTGCCGGTTGAGGGCGATCACAACCATGGTGGGCTGGACCAGGTACCCACCAGGGCTGAAGGAGAAGTCTCGGCCCTCCCAGGTGACATTCAGTAGGTGCCTAGGGAGGTGAGGCAGAGAGATGCCAGGGTGTCCCACCCCAGGATGTGGCTCTGCCTAGGACATCCCCTGCTACCACCATCAGAAAGCATTTGTGTGCTTATTATTTTTGTTTTTGGTTTTTCGAGACAGGGTTTCTCTGTGTAGCTTTGCGCCTTTCCTGGAGCTCACTTGGTAGCCCAGGCTGGCCTCGAACTCACAGAGATCCGCCTGGCTCTGCCTCCCGAGTGCTGGGATTAAAGGCGTGCGCCACCAACGCCCGGCTTGCTTATTATTTTTAAAAGTCTCCCTGTGTTGACCTCATGGACCTTTCCACATCCTAAAACCCGCTGTTTCTTTAGATAAGGATGCAAAGACCCAGAGTCCTAAAGGAACTTGACCTAGCATGTGCTAGTGGGAGACAGAGGGAGAAGAGAGAGACCAAGAGCCCAAGCTCATTGGCATTCAAGTCCCCGAAGTGCCCTACATGATAAGGGTAGGTGCTTACCTGTAGAAGGCCTGCCTGGCAGGGCTGACAGGTCCGGGGTGGCTTCGGCAGTCCCCAGCCGGGGCAGGCAGGGTACCGTACTGGCGTCGGTAGCTGTGGGCACCGAGGGCCAGGATGGCCACACCGTCGCGAACCTTCTGGCGCAGGCTAAGGCGCCAGCTCTCGGTGACCACACTGATGAGGCCCACAGGGAAGGCTGCCGGGGGCGCGTCGGTGCTCCCCAGCGCCAGATTAGGCACCAACCACACGTGGCCGGGTCCCACCAGGCCGGCCTGTGCCGCCTCAGCGAAGAGCACCTCGGCCTCCTCGCGGGAGCAGTAGGCCACCAGCACGGGAGCATCGACCTGGCGCAGCAGGCGCTGAGTGCGCGCCCGGGGCCCGCCCGGGCCCAGCTCCAGTGTGAGCACGTCCAGCAGCCGCCAGCTCAGGTAGCTGGCGTCGGCGACGGCGCGCACGCCCTCGAGGAAGAGCGCGTGGCCCGGGTGCAGGCTGGTGATGACGGCGAACGCGCTCCAGTCGTATTCCTCCAGCACCTTGAACAGCACCTGCAGCTGCTGCTCCAGGGACACGCCCAGCTGCAGGAAGGCGGAGCCAGGCTCCTGGGGACGGGGTGTGGCGGGCCTGAGTGGGGGGCGTGGCGGAATGAGCCTCGCCCTGCGCCCCAGCTCCCACCTTTCCCTGCTCCTGAAATCCTTGAGTAGGGGGTGGGGAGGCTCAGTGTCCCGGGGAACCCCTGCCCTGTGGCCCACTGGACTCACCTGGGGAATTTTACAAACTAAAATTCCCGCCCCTCAAGCTGACCCTGCTTGAACAACCGACCAGAAGCCTCAGCACCATCAGTGAACTTATTAGAAACCCAGAAGTCCTCGCTGCACCCCAACACTTAAGGCATTCAACAGAATTTCGGGGTGATGCCTGGAATCTGCCTGTGAGCAAGCTCTTCTGGGTTTCCCCTGAGCCCGCGACTTTGAGAAGCACTGCCCAGACCAAGACCAACTGAATCAGTCTTGGAATTGTAGCTCCAGGCTGAGCGCTCTCGCCAAGCACCTTGAGAGCTGAGAAACAGAGTCCCGGGAGCTGATACCCGGCCCAGAGACAGATAACAGGAAAGCACCACCCTGCCCATAGCCTCAGGAGCGAGAGAGTTCCTCCTTAACGCCACCTCTACACCCCAAAGTCCACAGCCACTGCAAGCTTCAGTGAGTGATTTCCTCCTAAGGTCTCCTTAGAGCACTACAGCTCCTCCCAAAAGGCCTCCTCACTGTCATCATTCCGATCTTATTTTTAAAAAAGGGGAACTATAGGCCCCAAACCCAAGTTCTTCAGTAGACAAATTTCAGCTAAAAGAGAAGCAAGCTGTGGTGGCACATGCCTGTAACCACAGCACTTGGGAGGCCGGAGGGTTAGCCACAAGTTCAAGACCAACCTGGTCTACAGAGTAAGTTCCAAACCGTAGCCCAGGCTACAGAGTGACACTCTATCTCAAAGACAGAAAGTGCAAAGGTGGAGACTTGGAAGCTGTAGCCACCAGCCATCATATGTGAACTTCATTTGGCTTCTGATCCAAGCAAACAGACTTAAAAATAAACACGTATGACATTTATGAGGTGGTGGGGAAATGTGGGCACTGGCTGGATATTTGAAGAGGCCGAGGAATTTTTATTATTTATTTTAGACGTGAAAATGTATGGTGGGTTTTTTTTTTTTAAGGCTTTCGTCTGCTGGAGGTACACACTGAAATATTTATGGGTGGGATGATAAGCTGTCTGGAATTTTGCTTCAGTTTACCACTGCAGAAGGAGCGATGGCCAGGGAGGAGCATGGGAGGGGAGGGGTCAAGGCGGACAGAAGGTAGATGGTGTGCCTTTGTACTCTTTCTGAATATTCTCAAAATTCTCCGGGATGAAGGAGCAATGAGGGTGATGCAAATCCAGCCAGCGTTCCCCGGATCACCCTCCCTGACTGACCCTTACTGAAAACAAAGCCAACCGCTTCCCAAGTCGTGAGTCCCACCTCCTTCTCCGGGCTTCTCTCTGATCAGCGATATATCCCTCCCAAGTCCCACTTAGCCTCTGGCCTCAGAGCAGACACCATTTGTTGCAGGGTCATATCTGACCAACACCCCATCCAAACAGACCCTGTGAGACATCTTCCCTGGAGGCATCTGTCTTTCCTTCAAAATGCCTCTGTCACTTGGAATTGTATATGAATCTGTGTTGGGCGCTTTCTCCCCAGAGGATCAAGTGTGTCTGTCTCTCCCATGCCTGGAGCAGAGACCTGGCCCTGTTGTGCCTTCCCCTACATATGAATGCTCAGTGTCCAAGGGGTCTAGTGCCTGACCAATGAGAGCTGGGGAAGCAGAGTAGGTAGCCTGGCCATCACAGCTGGAAGGCTATCTGCCCACTCATCCAGACACAAATGCGACAGCAATTGAGAGTACTGATAATCTGGATCGAGGGAACATTCTCCCCACGGTATCTTCCCCTTCCCTCATCACACCTTCAGGCTCAGCCAGTCCCGGCTCCTGAAGGTCTAAGCTGCTCCCTAATCCAGACTCAGCCCTGGACCCCAGTTCCAGCCTAGCTCTGGGCTCAGAGAGGAAGGGGCAAGAATTTAGACAGGCACCTTGGGGGTTAGGACCACAGCAGAGCCTCCACTGATGCTGAGGATGGGCACGTGGGTCTGGGAGGAGACGAAGTCCAGTAGCTGGGCCACCGCCTCAGTGTCCACGTTGTCTTCAAAGACGATGCCGTGGACACGGGCAGCACCCAGAAGCCCGCAGATTTGGGTGAGGATGCTGCTGGGGTTGGTATTGTTGACGCCAACTGTGAGTGGCTGGATCTCCAGAGGCAGGTCTAGGAAGTTCTGAGGGGTGAGACGAGTGCGGGCCTGGGCCTGCAGTGGCCCAGAGCTGCCAAACACCACTGCCACCGTCACTGCCTGCTCTCTCTGCCCTGGGCCCAGCCCTGCCCAGGCACCGAGGAGGGAAGTGAGCAGGAGGGCCGGCCCTAGGGCCCCACCCATGTCCACTGGAGGGTCCTGCAGAGAAACCAGGGCAGGCATAGAGAGAGACAGGTGGACAGACAGGAGGCAAAGACCAGAGAACACAGGGCCAGAGGACAGAGAAGAGAGAACCTCCCTCCACAGGAGAGGCAGAGACAGACAGACAGACACAGACAGACACAGAGAAAGAGACAAGTTAGCTGAGCATCCCCAGGGCACCTTGGAGAGGCAGCATCCAGGACGAGGCTTGTCACCCTTATCTATGAATAGCTAGAAAGGTCATAGTCCCCAAACCCAGTTATCTGGGCTCTGCCCTAGCAAAGACACTGAAATGTTTGTGTGTTGTTCAAGAGCCCTGATCTGAGATGGACAGAGCTGAGTTCAAATCAGGAATGCCACCCACTAGCAGTGTGATCTTTAAAACAAATAAAAGATTCATTACAAAATTACGTGAAGGGGATTAGGGATTTAGCTCAGTGGTAGAGCGCTTGCCTAGCAAGTGCAAGGCCCTGGGTTTGGTCCTCAGCTCTGAAAAAAAAAAAAGACAAAAATTAGGAAATTATGTGAAGACGTGTGTGTTTTTGTAGGGATCTGTACGTGTGGGGGGGTACCTGTAGAGTCAGATCCCCTGGAGTTCTAGTTTCAGATAGTTGTGAGTTGCCAGGCGTGTGTACTAGGAATCCAACTAAGGTCTTCTGCAACCACTGAGCTGTCTCTCCAGCCTCAGTTGTGTGATCTTTGAGAAGTCACTTAGCCTGTCTGAACTCTCAAAATAAGAAATCCAGCTATTCTCTGCCACTAGCAAATTTTATCCTGGAGGCGACAGTCCCTCTGCCAGATAAAGACAGGTAGCTCTGTGGCACCCCCGCAGCCCAGTCCACTCGACAGCCGAACTGAATCTTGCATCTAACCCTCATCAGAACAAACACTACTGCTCAGTGCTCTGCTTGCCCGGAGCCAGCCCTGGACCTCTGCTGTGTGGCTCTGCCTGGCAGATCCTCTCCTCCAGAGCTTGGATGTCTTCGACACCTTCCCTTCAGCAAGCTCATTTAGGACAGCCCTCTAAAGCAGAGTGGTCAAGGCCAAGTCGCTTGGGTTCAGAACACCCGAAGCCCTGAGGTGTCCAACTTACATCTGCTCTTCACATCCCACTGCTGGTGTGTAGGGTCTTTTTTACATCTAACCCAAGGGCCCAAGTGGGTCTGCTACAGATTCATTCTGAATCAAGGCCAGAGCCCGGTGGGTGAGAGAAACATGTCTCCTGGTGCCCATAGATGCAGCACATGGCCACCCTCTCCAGCCTCCTCCCACGTCTAATAAAACCAACCAGGGGGAGTCGAAGAAGGATCAGAGTGGGCCTGTCTCTCCAGCCCCCCTGCAGGAGATTTGTACACCTTTGCTACAGAAATGCAGAGTGAACCCAAACATCTCACCCAGACACCCTAGGGCTAGGGCTTGGGAACCCACAGGACAGCCCTGGCTCCTTCCAGAACTTTCCTCTGCTCTGCAGGCCACTACATCTCTCTCTCCCTTTTGTTCCAAGTCTGATTTCTTACATGACACCCCTCCAGACTCTCCTGTTCTCTCTAAGGAAACGGGGCAGCAAAACGCAAGGATCACCAGGGATTGTGCAGGAAATGTCTTCTCTTTGCTGAAAAGATAGCTCTGAAGGAGACCACAAAAAGGAACTTTTCAGCTATGAAGTGTGACTCGGTGCACAGATCACCTTCTGTGAATGATGAGATGCTAACATGGGGAGACATGGTCCCTGCTCTCCAGGAGCTCAATGATGATGTTGAACCAGCAGGATGCTATAAGCTCCTCCCATCTCCTTTTTTCTAAACTTACTTCTTTTTCCCTCAGACCCTGGCATCCCTACTCCGCTCCCAGCATACCTTCTCCCAGCCAAGGCTCCAGCACTTACTTGCTCACATAGGTATAAGGAGCTGATAACAATGGCATGTTATCATTGACAAACAAAATGAAATGTAACAGGTCAGGGCTTTAAGCTAAGGTGCGAGGTGGTAGAAGTTTGGGCTAAGAAGAGAGGATTGGGGGCAGAGGAAGGAATGCTGTAGACTCACCAGAACTGGCGAGATCTCCCTATAGCTAGGAATGGCGGCTTGGAAGCGTGATTGAGTGTGGGATGGGATCCTAATCACCACACCATGTGATGTGGACTATATCGTTTCCAAGCATGACAGCAAAGGGCAGGGTCATGCCCACTGCTCCTTTGAAGACCTGTGTGCTCATCCAGTTCTAGATTCCTCCCCGTGGGGAGCCACGAGCTTCCCCATCTCTGCCTCCTAGGAATGGGCTCTCTTTACCCGTGCCGACCAACGCAGTAGTCCCAAGCACACATAACTTGAAATACTTCCCACTGAAGTGAGGTGTGCTGTCGGCACCAAGATACACTGGATATTGGAGATGGTGTGAAGAGTATGTAAAACAGTATGTAAACTACCTTGATAATATTCTTTTTATGTTTGTTTTCATGTGGCGTGTGTGTGTGTGTGTGTGTGTGTGTGTGTGTGTGTGTGTGTGTGTTCAAATGTGTGTGTGTACATGTGCATGTGGAGGCCAGAGGCATCAGAAGTCTGCCTGGCTTACTCCTCACCTTATGCATTGAGGCAGAGTCTTTCCTTCGAACCCAGAGCACTAGAATTAGAAGCAAGCTACAATGCCCACCCAGCATTTATATGAGCTCTGGGAATGCAAAATCTGGTCCTCGTGTTTATATGGAAAATTCTTTATCCACTAAGCCAGCTTCCCAGCTCTCCTCATTGATATTTTTATATTCACTACATGTTAAAATAATGCTTTGGATATACTGAATTAAAGTATACTATTAAGCCAGGCATAGTGGTACACATTTTTAATTCCAGCACTTGGGAGGCAGAGGCCGGAGGATCTCTGAGTTAGGGGCCAACCTGGTATATGGAGTGAATTCCAGGACAACCAGGGCTACAGAAACTCTGTCTCGAAAATCCAATAACTAACTAACTAAATAAACCATACTATTAAAATCTTATCTGTTTTTCTCTTTTTTTCATATTAAACTCATAGTTTTATTCAGTTTTACTCATATTTTTAACAAATGTGTCAAGGAGAATGCCTGAAGAAAGGGTAAAGCCCCTGGGGGCAAGGCCCTGCCAGATGCCTGAGGAGGGATCATGCCCCCGCTTCTCACCACAACTAAAGGGACTTGGGAAGAGACAGACAGGGAAGGGGCTGGTCCCCAGTCTGTACAAGTGGTGCTTGGGGATGAAATGGACGACAGGGGACCAGACTAAGGATAAACAGGGTAAAGGGCACAGGACCATTTGCCAGAATCCATGGCTTTCCGACTCCAGTCTGAATTAAAAAGAGGAAAAGGGGGGACCTAAACCACAAGCAGCCCAACTCCCTTTCCCCACCACGGCTGTGAGGGAAGTGGCGGGCAGCTTCACCAAGGCCCTGGCTCCCTCACTCCAGGCCAAGGGAGCTAGGTGAAGGACAGGGGCTCCCCGACAGTTTGAAAGGGTGAAGAAAACCAAAATAAAATGTCAAAAAAAATTGTACAGGAGTCCAGCCAAGGGCCCAGCTGGGGGAGGGACCCCTGTAGGCTCAAGGATCTCCGTTGCCGCTGCTGCCATCACCACCCCGGGAACCAGTTATTCTATTTTCCATTTTATTTAATTATTTATTGATTTTGAGGCAGGGTCTCACTATGTAGCCGCTGCAGGCCTAGACTTCACTGTTAGAGACTAGAACTCACAAGAGCTCTGCCTGCCTCTTCATCCCCAGCGCTGAGATTAAAGACATGGGCCCATCACACCCGGCTCTTTCCTCTTTATTAATGTTGGCAACTACAATTTTTTCTTCTTCAAGATAGGTTTTCTCTGTGTAGCCTTGGCTGTCCTGGAACTTGCTCTGTAGACCAGGCTGGCCTACAACTAACTCAAAGAGATCTGCCTGCCTCTGCCTCCAGAGTGCTGGGATTAAGGGCATGTGCCACCACCACCCAGCTGGTACTAGGAATTTTAAAGTCACACATGTGGCTCGTGTTTTATCTCTTCTAGGGCAGTGTGAGTCTGGGGAAGGGGCCCAGGTTCTCCCTCAACTCCGAAGGGGGTGTTCCTTGCCAGCTTCCCTCCAATGTGAAAATATCCTCCCGGATTAAGGGTAGAGAAGGAGGGGAAATCAAGACAGGTTGTAAGAGCTGTAAGCCCAGCACCCAGCAGGTCTCTGAGCTGACAAAGCAATGTGACAGGGCATCTCCTACAAGAAACACCCCATTCCATGTCCCTGGTCCCCAGCCTCTCCTCCGCATCTGCTTCCTGCCCTCCTCCTAACTGCTAGAACTTTCACCTGGTCCCTGTGACAGAGGTCAAGCAGGACAGCTTCCCACAAATGAAGTCCCAGTGTCCAACAAGCTAACCTAACCCACTGTCTTCTCCTTGGATACTCACCCCTGCTAGACTGTGGTGTGTGCTGTCTTCATCTCCAGGCCTTGCCTCCTGCTGCTCCTCGGGCCAGAGAAACCTCTCCCTAACAAATTCTGTTGTCTTCCAGAGCCCAGCTTAAGCCCCACTTCTATAGGCTTCTGCCCTTAATCTTGATTCATCGGCTCTGGACCCCCAGGAAGAGACAGGGTTTGGGTTCCTCCGCTCTTTCCCTGCAGGGTGTGGAGCCCGAGCTGGTTCTCCTCAGGTCCCCCACCATCACTGGACCTTTGTACATCCCTGATGACACTCCTCTCTCCAAGGGTCTTAAAGCAGTGTTCACTGAACCCCTGGTCCCTAAGTACAGGGGAGAGGTTAGCAGTGGCCAGTCCTTTAGGACACTCTTGGAAGGTTCCATTACCCCCTACATGTTAGGGAACCTTCTCTTCTGCTTCCACCAACCCCTCAGTCACACACAGGCTCCTTGACAAGGCCATGCATATGTATAGCACATACACACACTCACTCACACCCGGGACACTAACGGCTCCCCCACTCCCAAGGCCTGGAAGCTCTGGTCCCCAAAGCTAATATCACCCACCTAAGCTGCTGATTCCTGCCAGTGGGAGACCCTCACTGATATGACCCCCTTCTACCAAAGTCCCCTCCCTTCACTTTTGCCCCATAACAGCCCAGGCACCTGGAAAGAGACAGCCCATCTATGTTGTCCACACTTGTGGGGACACTGACTTCTGCCTCTTCCACTACTAACTGCCCCCTCCCAGCTGATTCTTCTCAGCCCCCCCCCCGGGGGCGCCCCGCCCCCTCCCCTCGCAGGAATCTTACTCTGGGGCTGTGAAGTTCGGGGTATTTTTAGGCCGGCGATAAATAATTCATAGGGAACGTGGCATCTGGCTGCCCCTGCAGGAGGAGGGGGCGCGAGCACCGAAGGGCCACCATCACTCGCCGCTCAAGGACACTCGCGATGCGGCGGCGGCAGTGGCGGTGACTCCGGGCGCGGGGACCCGCGCCACGCCTCCTGGCGGCCAAATTGAGCACCAGGCACTCCTCGCCCCCAGCCTGGCCAGTGCCCCCTGAACTCTCTCTCCCCCAACCCCAGCCAGCACCAGCTCTCTGCTCCAAGTCCTATGACCCCCAACCCACTGCCTCAAGCTAGGTCTGGATCTCAAGCTCTTGGGCAAGGGGTGGCCAGGTTAGCCTGGCAGGCGGGCCTGTGGGTCAGGACCCAGTCTTGGTGGCCCTCCAGAGTGAATCCTCAGGCGTCCAATTTCCTACCAACCTGTCCCTTTCACGTTCTTATTCTTAACAAGTTTCGAAACTAGCTCAGAGGCAGGAACTGGACCTGCTCCAAAAAGCCAGTAGGATGGCATCTTCTCCAAATACGGTCCCGTTCCCCCACCCCCACCCCCTGCAAATTTTCTCGTAGCTGGGGGGAGGGTGAGTTGCTGATGGGGCCAGGACTGAGGGTGCTATACCAGATGTCCCATTGGGAAGGGAGGGCTGGGAAACAGAGTGAGCAAATGGGGTCAGCGTCCCCAGCGGGCATTTCTGCCTCTCGCCCAACAGGACTTTTGAAGGGTCGCCAAACACGCCCTTGGGGGATTTGCAGCCTGCTAGGTGCCTTGGCCTTTGGCAGGCCTCCCCCTGCCCGCCTAGGCCAAGCACAAATCGTTGCCTTCCGCAGCCGGAGATTAAGGCTTCTCCTCCCAGCCGTCGGGGATCCTTGTTGAAGCCCCAGGAGACTACAGCCTCCAACTGGTGCTTCCAGGGCACAGGCTCTCCCGTGGTGGCCTTTTCCGCCCACCCTCCTTTTGGAGCCCGCAGAGCCCGGGGGAACCAGGGCGCGGGGGGTCAGCGTTCGGGCAAATCCTGTCACTCCAGAAACCCATTGATCTCGGAGGTCAGGGGATGGAGTATTAGGAGCTCCCGGGGGAGGGTAAGGAGAAGAGTGAGAAGCGGAGGGCTTGGAGAACTCACCCTAGTGAGGGGTCGGTGGATAGCAGATGCGCGCAGCAGGTGCCAGTAGGGACCAGCTCAGCAACCGCTACAGCCTCCTTTCTGCTCTCCGAGCTCTGTGTCCTTTCCAGCTCCCTGCGCTCTGGTTGAACCCAACCTCGGTCCTAGGTCCTGGCCCCTGACCGGTTCCTTGCCCCCAGCGGCTTCCACCCGCAACAGTTGGACCCGGCAATCCAGATTCCCGCGTCCGAGGACTGTGTCCAGCCTGGCCGGGCCACCGCGACAAGCGAAGGGAAGGAGACTCCGCGACCCTAGGGACCAACGCCTTGGGCTCTCCACCCGCGTCCTTCCCTCGCGCCCGCGGCCAGTCTGTCTCCCAAGACTGTCTCTCCTCGCCTCCTTTGCCACCGAGTCCACAGCACCGGTCTGGCTCTCGAGGGTCCTGGTCCCCCTGGCCCCTGACACCCCGAACTGGGAACTGGCGGTACAGTCTCGGGTGTCCCGCGTCTGTCTCCACCGTCCTTGCCCGCGCGGCGCCAGAGCCCCTTAAGTTGCCTGCGAAGTTGGCGCCCCCCTCCACCACCACCCCCCGCTCGCCGCCAGCCCCCAGCCGCCACTCACCCGGGGAAGGGGCTCTGCACCTACGCCCAAAGCCCGCTGCCGCCTCCCGTGCGATGCTCGTCCCGGCGAGCTGGCACGCCGGCTGTGCGTTCGGCGGGCACCAGAGCCGGGAGCGGCGGGACCAGTGAGGATGGCGCGGCCTGAATGCCTCCCGCCCCCGCGCCCGGCCCGCGCCCCGTGGCGGGGCTGTGTCCCGGGCTGCGCAAAGGCTCGCCTCCGGCTCTTGGGGCTCACCAGCCGACTGTGATGGAGCTCGCCGCGGTCGCCTCCGCCCCGCCCTGGCCCGCCCCAGCCGGCCACCGGTGCCCCCCTGGCCCTTCTAGGCCCCTCCCTGCCAGCCCGTGCTCCTAGCTGCCCCCCTCTCCTCTCTCCTGCTCAGGGACCCTGTCCCCAGACCTGATACTCAGAGGCAAGGGCAGCTTCGGAGAAAAACACCAGCTTGCCAGGAGCCCTGGGTTTGAGCCCTTAGTTCCCTAGCTGTGTGACCTTGGGCCAGTTAATTTCGAGGCTCCTTCAGTTTATAAAGTAAGGCCAGATCTTGCTGCCGAAAGAGACTATAAACTGCCGTAGGCTGGAGTAGTCTTTGAAAAGGCTTGTGGATTTGTCTGGAAGCTTGAAAATGGAAAGGCACAGACCATGTGGAGATTGGAGGGCCCGGCCAAGCCTGCCAGCAACCGGGAGAGACGGGGGCATACTGGGGACAAACTGCTGCCCTGTGCTCTGGCTCCCTCCTTTTCTCTTCTTTTGTCTCTGTTTCTGTCCTGGAAGTACCAGGCAGTCAGGCCGGCAGGGCAGACAAGCAAGGGATTTGTCACCAGTGACTGAAGTGTGAACTGAAGACCCAGAGGCCACAGAAGCAAAGAACAGACAGGAAGGGCAGGGTAAGTGCATGGCAGGCCTGACCACCAAGCCCCCTGGTCCCCAAGAGGCTCTTGAGCAAGGTTCTGTCTCCTTAGTTCCATCTGGCAGCCACAGACAAACAGGCCAGAAAGTGACCCCCTCCCCCCAAAAAAAAGTAGCTCATCAACCATGGCTCTTTGGTACAGCTGCTTTATTTCCACTGTGTTCCCATTCTAGGGGCCCTCCAAAGTTCATCAGGGAGGAAGTAGGAGTGGGCGGAGTCAGCCTGCCCCTCCATCCATCCCTAACCTAAGGTTCCCTCCTTGGCCTAGAGCCACAATGGCAAGGTCAGCTTGCAGAAGACAGAGATCAGAGGCCCCTGGAAGGGCCAGAGCTCAGCCTGAAGCCGGGGTGTTGGCACTGTATCTGGGCGAAGAATCTGGGAGAAGACTCCAGCTCAGACGGCCTCAGGCCCCGAATCCTTGAACAAGACTCTCTTCTTCACGGTTGAGGCTGGGGTCCAGGTTCAGTGCCCCAGCAGCTGCAGCATCTCCCTGGGATCCACCAGTTTCTCCCTCGGTTTCCCAGCGCCCTGGCCTCGAGATACCTCCTCAGCATCCAGCTTCTCCCAGTCAGAGAAAGAGACTGGCCGGACCCCTAAGGCAGATAGGAAGACACATTAATGCCATCATCTCCTCTAAGGGACCCTCTTCCCAAAGATACTCGGCCCTCGGCCCTCCCCCCTCCCAGACCTCAGCATCAGGCTCAGACCTCGATTGCTGAGCAGGGCTTGAATGGCTGTATAGCCAGGTCTGGGGCCAGAGGGCAGCAGCCCCGCCTTCAGGTCCTGCAGCAGCACCTGGCTGGTGAGGAAGCTGTCCGTCATGGTGGTGGTGATAACACCTGTGGGTCCCCGCTTCACCCAGCCACTGCAGTAGAGGCCTGAGAAGGGCAACAGAGACTTCTGACAATTCTGCATTGCAATACGCACGCACGCACGCAAATGTCCCCATGTCTCCGATATATCCTACAGGCTGGGCCCACTAAAGCCACTGGGTCACCAGGATAGTGTGTGTGTGGGAGGGTTGTTTTGTTTTGTTGCTTGGTTTGGTTTGGTTTTTTTGAGACAGGGTTTCTCTGTGTAGACCAGGCTGGCCTTGAACTCACAAAGCTCTGCCTGCCTCTGCCTCCTGAGCTCTGAGATTAAAGGTGTGCACCATTATGCCTGGCCCGTGAGGGACTCTTGGTTTGTTCTCCCATGCCATCCTCCTTTCCTCAGTCTCCTTGTGGATGAGACTTGCTCACCACAGTTCGGCAGGCCCTTCGGGACACTTACTGAATGAATGGACAAGATGGGCACCTGGGTAAGAAGATGAAGCCCCCCAAGGACAGGGGCTATCTCCCACCAGTGTCAGCACTGGTCCAGGGCAGGCCTCAGGAAGCTTTACTGAATGACGTCCCAGCTTGCCTGAGAACTTGCCCTCGGGGGCTGGAGGAGGGCGGGCTATGCTCTAGGACTGGCCTGTCTGGAGCTGTCTCACGTTACGTCACTGTAGAATGAGCGGTCTTGGGACACCAGCCTTTCAGCCCCACCATAATTAGATGGCCCACCTTCTCATACCCTCTCACCTGGTACATTCACAACCCGGCCGTCTATGTTGGGAATGACTCCAAGCTTGGGGTCAAAGGGCACACTGGGGTCAATGGGGCGACTCTTATACCCAACGCTGCTCAGCACCAGCCCACAAGGGAGGTCCTCCACATCTCCCGTGGGCACTGCACGGGTGGAGTCACCAACATCCTATTGGGGAGAACGTGGGTAACACCAGGATGGGATGGGGGAAGCCTGAAGAAGGGCACGTTTGGGTAGCATGAGACTCACCTCCAGTCTGGTAACTGCCAGGCGGATGCCTGCTACCTGTTGGCCATCCGGTGTGGGTAGCACCTGCTGGGGACTTCGGAAAAAGCGGAGGCCCCAGGCCCGGGAAGCCAGTGCTTGGCGGGCAGCCTCTTCCACCCCTGGCTTCTCTGTGGCTGTCCGAAGCAGCAGCTCTGTCAGCCGCTTCCTTGGACGGGGGACATCTGTGAGCAACATGGAACGGTTCAGGGCTGCCCCTGCTGGTCACCTTCCCCCAAGGCGACGAGCCGGGGGGCTGGACTTGGCCCCTCACCCTTAATCCTGTCCTGGAGGCCCAAGAAATCCGAAGGATCCAAAATGGGCCGGGTTCCTGGTAACTGAATCATCTCTCGAAGCTCCTTGGGGGGTAGGGGTGGGGGAGGTAATGGAGGAGGTCAGGTCCTGAACCCACCAGAGTTCAGCTGCCCTGGTAGGAGAGACTATCAGCAGTGTGGGGAAAGAACAAGAGCCCTGGGGCCCTGCCCACCCCCCTGTTCCATCCAGGGAAGCAGCTACTCCCAGGGCTCTGTGGCAACCCCAACATATTGGGACTCCGGTTCCTCCCACTCTGGACCCAGTACCTTAATGGTGAAGGCCACTTGCAGGGGTCCACGCCGGCCCACTATCCACACAGTCCTCACCCGACTCTGTCTCAAGACTCCCAAAGCCGCCTCTGTGATGTCTGTTTTCTGGCACAAAAGGAGGCTCTTAGGGTCAAGCACGGTGGAACATGAGGCAGAGGCATGAGGATCTCTGTGAGTTCAAGGCCAGCCTGATACACACAGTGAGTTCCAGGCCAGCCAAGGCTATAATAAGGAGACCTTGACTCAAAATAAAGGGGTTGGGAGGTCTTGACTTGGGGAAGGGGACTTGCCAGGTCAATTGGTCTTGTTCCCACTCCAACACAGAGAAAGCCAACGGCCCAAAAGCTATACCGCTACTCCCCCCTGGTGGCCACATAGAGCATTGACGGCAACTCTCCAAATGGCTCCTAGGTAACCGGATTCCAGCCGATTCTGCCATTCACTCACAATCCATCACATGTCCAGAACAGGACAAGGGGCTTAAGGGGCAAGAGCAGTTTATGTGAGCCAAACAGGCTAGTTCAGAGCCCCACAGAGTTCTTGTTTTGTGGGGAGACAGAATCAAATCTCATCACAGACCGTAAACTTGTAGTAGTGAAGCAATGTTAGGGATGTAAAGGCCACTAGTAGCTGAGACCATATTACAGAAAAACACCTACTAAGACAGCCTGGAAGACCTCTTGGCAGAAGGAATAGTTGAGCCAAGGATGAAAAGAAGGAGGAATGTTAATTCTTAACTAGCAGGAGGTCAGTCCAGATGTTCCAAACAGGGAGAACGTGTATGTAAATGCCCAGTGGCACAGGAGTCTGCCTGGGCTCCTGGAGGAAACAGGCACTGGGCTGTTTGCAGGGATGAGACCTGAACCCCACAGGCAGGAGCATCCGCTGCTCAGTGTGCTCCCACCTCCAACCTCTGACTGCCCCTCACCTCCAGGTGCTCAGGTGGGGTCAGCAGGATCCGGGCCACATCCAGAGCCACATTCCCCTGTCCCAGAATCACAGCTGTGTCACAGCTCAGGTCCGGCGCCAGCTGGAGGAGAAAGGTCTTGAGAGGGCATCCCCACCCCAGCTCCAGTCAGGCTAATCTCATCTGCAGACACCTTAGGTCAGGCCCAGCTGGGCCCTCAGGCTGCCCTACCCTTAGACAGTCCACTCTACCCCACCCCCTCTCCCCCAGCCCCACAGCTCTCCTCAGCTGACCTGCCTCAGTCATGGACGTCTCACATCTCCTCAGCTTGCTCCTCACCGCCTTCACCTCAGACTTTAACACCTCAGGGATGCTCCTGACTCCAGCCGGAAGCAGCAAGGGTGCTCCCCCAAGGGTGCTCACCTCCCGGTTCTCAGGAAGCCCGTTGTACCAGCCCACAAAGGCCCGGGCTGAGACCACGCCAGGCAGCTCCTCGCCAGGAATTTCCAGGGTTTGGTGGTCCTCTGCTCCGTAACTCTGAGGAAAGACGCGCAGTGCCCAAGGCCTCAGCACCAGCCTCCTGTCTCTCATCAGCCCCTCCTCTCACATCCACACCCCGCCACATGGGCACTCACCAGCACCACGGCGTGGTAGGCTTCCTGAAGCTCTGGCACAGACACGTCCCTGCCCACCACCACATTGCCCCGGAAAGCACAGCGATCTGAGC